AAAAAATAGCTTGAAAAGAGTGATATCGACGAGAAAAGTATAATTTTCACAACAGTCAATGGAGTTGTAATCAAAAACGAGATATATTCTAAATCTACATGGTCTCGGCTATAGATTAGTAAAAAAAAATTTTAATTTGGACGTATAAGAGCTGAGAAAATTTTACAAAAAGTTTCTAAAGTGATTTTCCGAACGGCTATTTTCAGTAAAATGAGCGCGGTGAAATGGTGAATGCGCAAAAATGAGCAAATGTTTCTGAAGCAGACAGCGGGTTTTCCAAAAAACCTGAATTTTTCAGGTATTTTTCATTTTTCTCGGTTCGGAAACGTTTTTATTCAACAAAAATTACATACTCGGAATCAGCGCAACAAACTGCATCGAATGATGTGCGATTAGTAGGTTTTTTAAGCAAAAACTTGTTGGATGTAATGGAACGCTAGAGTCGAAGCATAGTGTGACAATTTTGGCTAAGGATTTTGATATTTGCTATAGAAGCAGTCCGAAAGTCTATACACACTTTTTTACAGGTTTTCAGATATGCTCTTTCCAACGGCGTGCTTTACAAAGTTCCAGAGTACTTATGTGTGGGTTTTCTAGAGAGCCGGTCTCTGGAGAACTCAGATGAAAGTCTCTTGGAATTTTGTAAAGCCAGCCATTGGAAAGAGCATATCTGAAAACCTATAAAAAGGTGTTTATCGACTTTCGGACTGCTTCTGTAGCAAATGTCCGCCTGGCCTATGGAAAAATGCACACTGTGCCCCCCCATAACGTCAGTCCCGATAAAACGATTCTTTTATTCTTTGTTGCATATGAATATAAATATACGGTATAAAGATTTCAGCTACAGAAAGTGGTTGTTTTTTGAGAATATGTTCTTCAAAAATGTTCATTGAGATCATTTCATAAAAGTTTGGTCGAAAATTGATAGAATTCATACTCATCATATTTTTTTTTTTCATTGACTTCTCATCAAATGTCTGTATAAACTAGGCTAGTGTTGAACTGAAAGCATGAAATTTGTTAGTGGATAAATGAAAATGAACCATTTGCAGAAACAATTTTTGACTTGGAAATTTGAAACTCATCTACAGGTAAGAGAAGAGATGTCTGTGCATTCGTTCAGTTTAAGATAGTATAAGATGGTTTCTTCAAAAATTTTCTTTTTCTTAACGTTTCATCCAGTTATGTATATCTTTGTGTCATGACTCAGGTTTTTTTGCGGGTAATTGTGTACAGTAAATCGTTCTGTGTCTCTATACCTCAGCGCATGTTTCGTTAGATTCTTCTTGATCAAAGGACTCTGTCAGCTTTCAAAAGTATTTTGAACCAGAAAGTTATATATCAGGCTTTGTAGAGCTTCTCATGACAGATCTAAATCTGTATTAGGTTTGGGTAAATACCTTCTGGTTACCGAGATCTGGATGTCGGTATGTTTTTGGTCTTTAATCAGTATTGATGTAAGAGAAAGAGTCGAGATTCGGTAATGTAGTACAATGAGATGTTGTCTTACCCATATTCTTGTAAAGCAATGAAAACGGTATAAACTAATTCGGTAATGGGCAATAGAGGCTAGTTCTTCTAGGAAAAATGGGTTATTTATGAAAAAAAAATCGGTCATACCCATTTACATGTCCGCAGTAAAATAACTAACTATAAAACCCAAACGATATGCAGGACAAATTCTAATTTTGTCGAAAACTGTATGAGTATGAGCTCTATCTGCCACAGTCATGAGGAGGTCTGAATCCATATGTGTCTATGGGAAAAATCTTTACTGGAAAAGAGTATACCAAAATAGAGTATATTTTGGACTTGAACTTGGTTTTTTCTGGTCTGATTTACTTATCAAACAGTTTTAACGCCATATTCACAATCTACGAACAAAATTGAGTCGGATGGAGTATTATACATATGATCAAAACACAAAAAAGCTTTTTGAGACAAGAAACCCTACGGAGGATCTTAACGGAGCCTGTCCCTCGAAAAGCAAAAATTTACCGGCCAAGTTACATGTAGTTTTATAGAGTGCTGAATCATGAACGAAATGCACCCTTTAGATTCAGCTTATGTTACAAAGGAAAAGTATTTAGACTCATTTTATATATAGTATACAGGACGATATTGAACGTCGAAAGGTCATTGACCAGAAAACATTGTCAGAAAGCGACACAACTTTTCAGTTATACACGATTAGATAGCCCTTGAAATTTTCTACAAATTGAGCTAGAAAATATCTTGAGTGGTGGGGTCAGTCACCAAAGGCATTCAAAAAACGTGTTGGACTACGGAAAACAGCTGCAGAACATTCTTTTAGAAGTATTTTCTATCTTAATGAAAAACTATATGTTTTTCAAAAGAACACCACTGTATATCGCCCGGCTGTCTATAACGCTTTTTCACCGGAATATTTTGGTAATTTTCACACCCTTTGGTAAATCGACTACAGCTAGGTGAAAAGGCGTTATAGACAGTCGGGAGATACCTTATTTTGCTCAGAATTCTCTGCTCTATAAAGCTATATGGTTTGTAAAATTTTCTGACGAAAAGCCAGCGACTTAGTTTTCAAGCATTCAGGTTTTCCAGGAACCCTATTATCAAGTTTTCTCATAAAATGGCGATATGCACCTCATCTGATAGAAAAATCTGATATACCTATGATACATACAATTTTAAATTTTCATCAGAACCGATATTTTTAAAGCAAAAATCGTCAAGAGGTGCCTTCCTTTTAGAAAGAGTCCGACCCGGGTGGTCAACAAAACTATTTTTTTTATATTATCTGAATATAATTCTACATAATAACACATAAGAATGCAAACTTTTAACGACATGTTTCATACTATTTATTTAACAATATTTTCTATTATTCGTATTTTCTCTATTTTCAGATGTTATACTTCGATGTGAATTCGTTGAAGGATGTTTAAAAGATGAAGTTTTAAGGAAAATATTAGCTCCAAATACAGCACAGCCATTCAATACGACAACAACGAACAGAATACAAACGACGACAACAAATTTTATCGATGAAACGGGTGCCGTAGTTTAGTGAATAGGAAAGATTTTTATATTCCTCAGGCCAGATAGATCTATTTTTGATTTGACAAAAAAATAAATGTACAGTTTTTTTTTTCTATTTTATGTATGCAGTGTGCACAAGAATTTTGAACAGCACTAAGATTTTCTTTTTTTTTTCTGTTTTTCTACACCTTGTTTTTTGTACATTTTGTTTTTTCTCAAAAAAACAAAAAAAAAAAAAATGCTCGATTGAAAAATGTAGATGAAAATGAGCACTATAGAATATGCTTTTTGATAAATTTTTATAATATTATTTATCTATACTTTTCCAAGTAAATAACTGTTTAACTACTTCCTGATATATTCAACTTGCCATTGAACGGTAGAAATTTTATTTTTTGCACGATCCAGAAGAATAGAGAAATAATCTTGGCTGCTGTAAATTCGAAGAAAAAAGTCGTGGAAATAAATTGCAAAAAAATTTATATTATACAGAATTATTTTGTTACAAAAATATTAAAAAATTTCTGTACTAACCTGTACAATTTTGACATGTAGATGACTCTAAATAAATTTCTTTCAGTACTTTGAAAGCGAAGTTATTTACGTTGTGCAACCGACTTCTCATAAATGCACATGTTGAAAAAGAGAAAAACAGTTGTTCAACATCATAAATTCTGTATACAATCATTGTGCAACTGAGTAATGATAACGCGACACATAAGAGTCTGTAAATACTTTAAAATATTACGAAAAATAAGATTATTTTTTCCATGAGACAATTCAACATTCACAAATATCTGTCATAGTTATTTATCAATTTTATATTTCAGTTTAAGAACATACAACAGTTTAATTGATACATTTTATATACCTTAATTAGTTAAATGATTTTTTTTAATATTTTAATATGCATATTGAGGGTAGTGTTAGGAAATATAAACTAAATCTCATATCAGCAGTCATCTTTCAATATACATATTCTTATCGTCACTCGATGGTTATTTTCCCTTTCTGTTCTGATATATGTATTCACTCCTCTGCTTTTTATGATATGTATTTTCTCTCCTTCTGTTCACTCTTTTCCCATGGGTATTTTTCATTTCTATTCTTCTCTCTCTCTCACTCTCTCTCTCTCTCTTGTACAATAGCTGTTATTCCCAGTATCCCAAAGGGATCTTCCGGTAGCTAAAATATACTATATAAAGATGTTAATTTACTGAAATAAAGTGTGTGTAACAGTTACATTCTTCTTTGGCTATTAACCATTGGATGCAAAATGATTCTGAAAGGAATAATCTCACAGTAGGCACTATAACATCTTCATTGGATAATAATTCATGACCATTTGTCGCCGTATTGTTATAGATGTAGCAGTGGCTGCCTAACGATTCTGTGAAATACATGGTAATACACTGAGAGCGACGAGCGATGTCGTGTTCTACAATCCCACGGACATTCACAGAATTCGTTCAGATTATCGAGAACTCAAAACGTTTTTAGAAGACTCACTGCAGTTACATGCAGAACTGATAAAAGCAGATTTTGGAGAACTTAGTTTGAGTTCTTTAGCCAGTTTTCTGTATGGGACAAATGGAGAACTTAAATTCTTTAGTGTACCATCTACATATAAAAAGTTTTCTCATCAAGTTAGCAGAGTATCGTTCAACTTTGTCAGAATTCTAATCGGTACTGGTGCTTTAATGAATTGAATTTTGAAAATTCTAGAAAATTGCGAACGATCGCCGGAACTTGATTCCGCTAACATAGCGATGTTTCAAACATCATTATCAAGAAAGTAGAATTACAGTATAAAACTTAAACAAGCAGAAAACATGGGAAGGTATCTAGAAAGAAAGTTTGATTGTATAAAAAAAATTATCACATCATAAAAACTATAGAAAACTCGATAAGGTTCTGAGTCTTTAGACAAGGTTTTAATATTCATCCATTCTATCGAATGAGATACATTTGACACTTGTTTTGCTAGTGATGATTTGTTTTCTAATAAAGAAATTTGTTCATCATTCAACTTTGAATTATGAATATTATTTAATCAATTTTCACTTATAATTTAATAGTTTTAAGTTTATTTTGCATACAAGTATTACTCAATCTTTAATTTAATAACAATTAATTGTTCTTTCAATGATAGTATGGTATTTACGTTGTTATGCTCTTCATTAGTTGAATTAAAGGAGTGCATTTGTAAATATTCATGCAGATAGAAATAGTGACATTAACGTAAGCGATATAAATAAATTCTCGTTTCGAAAAATTGAACGAAACATGTATTATCATAGATTTATTATGTATACACTTTTTGTTCTTAATCTATTTCGTTTCTCATCTAATTTGGACTATAGAAAACAAATAACAGAACGTGGAAAAGAACAGCCAGCAGTAATAACAATAGAGAAGGGAAGTCAACAGCAAAGTCGTGACTTAATGCGTCCATCTGCAAATGGACCAGTATATTTGCCGAGTGCCGACGGCTTACATTATCCTGGCTATCTCACTTATCATGTACAGCGCCCAACCTATGTAACTAGAGGTGTTGCTCGACCAGCTCAAACAATCTATTATCCTTTTCATAATTCTGGTTTAGTTTATCAACCACCCAATGCATGTGTACATGGTTGGAAACGCGATGCGTATGGACGTTGTAAACGGAGAAAACATCGTCATCGTGATTATCGACTACGAGTTAAACAACAAAAACAGTAGTTCAAATAAGCGAAAGCGCGTTAAAATAAAACAATAAAGACATTTGATGTTTAGTCCATGCGGTTAGTCACGAAACTTTATGCTGAAACTTATTTATTTTTGTTCATGATATGAAAATGCATTCTCGAACTATTATTTATAGTTATTTATTTATTTTTAAGCTATTGATTTAGGATTTTTTAACAAGAATTGTTCGATTTAGTGATACAATCTTCGATATAAAGACGCTGAAGAGAAAATATAAAAGAGATTTTTATGGATGTTTACTCATTATATTTATTGATCATGGAACAGTGCAAAAACGTACAATAACACCAGTTCTTGCGGAGCTATTCTGTTCAACTGTAGTAGTGACTATTTTGGAATAACATTAAGATTTTTTTCCTTGCGAGCTTTCTATTACGGAAATTTTTTCCTATTACGGAAAAAGGTTAGCGAGCATGCATACTCTGTAGCGTCTGATGGTTGTCAGTGATCTTTAAGGACCAGAGGAGGCAAATCATTTCTCAAGTCACGTCAAAGCACTTTTAGAATCTTTCACAGCTAAATCTACTTTTACTCACGATTAACTCAGATTTGTTTGGCCTATAATATGATATATAGCGATAAATTTTATTAGCATCATAGACTCGACCTAGCCTCTTAAAACCAACCGACTTGAGCTTTTTGAAAAATTTGAACGATTTTTTTATACGAGTCATTGGCTTTTAAGAGGCTAGGTCGGGTCTATGAAGCTGACAAAATTTATCGCTATATATCATATTGTACGCCAAACAAATCTGAATTAATCGCCAGTAAACGTAGATTGAAATCTATTACCTGTAAAATATTCTGAAATATTTTTGACATGACTCGAGAAAAAGACTGGCCCAGCTTCTGAGAGTTCTTTGGATCTGATTCGGTCTAACTAAGGGCTAGTCAGATCCGAAGAACTCTCGGGGTACCACTAGGACCATCTGGAGTGTGAGATAAATGATGATAATAAATATAATACAGTTATTTTGCTTACATTTGTTCTATATGTTGCATCTTACAAGAATGCAATGTGATCCACTCCGATCGTCAAGAATACAATAGGATTTTCTCGTCTATATAAGTAGAAAAATTATCTGTTAACCTTATTTAGAAGGGCTAATCTTCACAAAACTGGCTGTTGTGCACTTTTCGGCGGTAACTCATCAAATTTTAGAAAATCAACTAATTTGCATTTAAGCAACTCAAAATAGGAAGAAAATTCAGTTTGTATATGTTGAGAAAAAATTGAAATTCAGTACAATTTAAGACATTCCTACAGGAACAATTAAAATTTGAATTTCTCTAGGAAAAATTGAAATACTACACATTTTATACTTATTTCAATCTTTTCTAAGAGAAATTGAAATTTGAATTGTTCCTATAGGAATATTTTAAATTCTACTGGATTTGATTTATTCTTGCAACATATTGAACTCTCATTAGGAATTCATCACAAAAAAATATACACTGTTTTGTGCAGAATTGAATGCTCTTTAAGAATAGGCTTTTGTAAAGATTAAATAATATTATCTTTTCTCAGTCAGGCACAGAAAATCATATTAAATTCTAGTTAGTGACTAATTTTTCATCTTTTCAATAGAAATCTATGTCACCGTATCCTCAATCATGACATTCAGTATATACTAGATGTTTTTGTACTAGATCCTTGTTTCATAAATAGTGAGAAAAGAGCTCAAAACAAACAATCCAAAATCATTGAATAAACGTAGAAATAATTAAATCGTCTTCATACAATACTAAACACATACAAAGACAAAGGAAAACATTTGAATGTGTAATCGACCAACTTAGAATCACATGCGATATTAAATCAAAGTCAGAAGAAAATTATTGATTGTATTAATAACAAAGGAGCTTAAGTGAAATACACATTTCCAATTGATTAGCACATCAGAGACTTACATGGCAAAAAACATTGAAAAAGCATCATGGTTAACTATGCATCATTCATTTTTAACTCTCCAAATGAATCATCTTAGTATATTCAAATCACATACAATTTCTAGAAAATTCGAGATTAAAAGTGATGACCTGATTAATTTTAGAATCGAATATCATACCGTATCCCCTAAGGAGACATATGAAGAGCGTTTAGAAGTTCAACGTAAACGATATATAATTGCTCCTGATGTGGAAAAGTTTAATATTCTTCAATTTTTCGTCTGTATTGTTTGATTTCTTGTGCGATTAAGAACAGAAAAGTAGTTTTATGGTTGTTAAGCGATAAAATTGCCGTGCTGTTTTTGTCTCTGTATATATATATATATTTTTTTTTTTTTGTTTTCTGTAAACTATTCATATTTTTTAATTTTTTGTACACATCGTTTTCGTAAACAGATATGTTTTTCATAGATGAGTAAATCCATCAAAAACAGAAACATTGTTTATTTCTCTCCCACTTCATCTCTGAATAAATTGAGTTAGCTAATAATTTTTTTCTGTTCGCTTTTCGCTACATTTATTTTGAAGTAAAAATTATAGCTGACATGAAACAGAAGAAAAGATCAGAAAGAATACTATAATAATTCTCAGTAGTACAACAACTTTAAAGACAAAAAAAGTCAACGAAATACAGTGAGTAATGAGAGAATATTGAATAGAATAATATAGTTTGTAGTTCAAATACTATTTATTGTTTCAAAGTTCTTGCATCATTTGTTAAATAGATTCCATTGAATGATATAGGATACATCTTTAAAGTTTAGTGTCAATCCTTATGTTACATTAATTTTTCCTATAAATATGTTCTAAATTAGTGGTATTCATTTGTTGGACACGAAGAAAATGTAATTTTCTATTCAGTCTATTTTCTCCATCAGATAGTATACCCTCAAGTAAATAAAATAGTAAATGCTATTGCAGGAGGATGTAGTGTGCCATTCTTGTGTTTTTGTTTTCGTTCTCAACATTGTAAAAAATATTTATTCATTGTTAATGATACCCTATGCTATGTAGCAAATATAACATGTGAAAAACCATTTGGCAAATGAGATAAGCTATTTTATTGACTTATGACATTGTAATTTATATGGTGTTTATTGGAAGCAGAAGATATCATAGATGATTCTTAGTTCGTTTCTGTACGTATGTTATGTTACATTAGCGTTCATTCATTTCTCAATGAATTCCTCGAATCATACAATAATTAATCTTCAGGCTTTGGATCAATAATCGATAGAACATTCGGTACAATTTTAAAATGAAAATAATGTTCTTAGACTGAGTTATGACTTTTTATAAAAAGGTCCTGAATTTCCGAAGTAGTTAGTCTTCGTCAAATATTTGTACTTTAGTAACCATTGAGAATCAATACATTCAACAAATACTATAGATCGGCAGGAAAATTATAGCTACATTTTTGGGGAAACGATAAACTTCATTCTCAATTAGATTAGAAGTTGTTAAGAAAATCTCACTATGTGACGAACCATTCAATCAAAGAGGGTAAAACTTATTGAATGATCATCGTTTATTAAGAGCTACTCACAAGATCTTTTTTTCGTATTTATTGCATTAAAAATGCGTTAGGCATATCGTACGGCCTTGTAATGTGTTAGCTTTTCTATTGTGTTATACCGAGAAAAATTTAGAAAAAATCTGTCCTTAATGCATTGTAACGTATGAGCGTAATGCGTTACGTGCCAAAAAATTGAAATTATAGTGTAATGTTATAATGAATTTATATAGACATTATTTTATAATGTCACAACGCTATAAATTCGACTAACGCGTTAATGGTTATAAGGCGTTACTAAATTCCTATCGCATTATAACGTATTAATCTGTAACCCATTATAACGCGTTATACATGTTCTAACTCATTGTAAGGCTATAGAAGTTCTTCACACGTTTCAACGACATAAATTTATTGCATTACAATGCATTAACTCTTCAGGCGCTATACGTGACAGTTATAATAAGTGTGCTGTGGGAGTTTATGTCCTGAGTCTCAAGTCAGTAACGTATATGTCTGATATAGTTGAAGTAATTTTTCCGAACTTTTCGAGAGGACCAACTTTTCGAGAGGAATCGATTGGCAGTCTCAGAATTTTATGGAAATGTGTCCTTTAAGAGAAAACCATGTATTTTCGTTTTAGATATTGTCTAACTCGTTGTAACGCATTAATACCTGTCGTGTTACACCGAGTTCCATTTTTTTATCTCATTGCAATGAGATAGAAAAGAATAGTGCATTACAATATATTAGATATTAACTCGTTACAATACGATATGCATTATCTAATGAGTTATAACACTATAAAAGATTTTTCCAAATTTATGGCATTATAATTAGATAAAACATCTAAGATATTATAACGCATGAGTTTCTAACGCATTATATTGAAGTAGAAAGCTCAAACGCGTTATAATACATTAGAATCTAACGTATTATAAGACGGTAGACAAATCTAATTGCGTTGTAACGAGATAAAAAAATTGAAACGTATCATAATGCTATAAATTTATAGAGTTGTAATGCAATGAAAATTTTTATCCGCTTACAACGCCATAAATTCCTGAAAAATAACTTTGCAACGAGTGATAATATGACGGGCTACGTCTATTGCGTTGTAATGAGATACATCTATAGCGTTCTAATGCCATAATTTAAAAAAAGCATGTTTTATAGCGTTATAACGCTATAAATAGAGAAAAAAAGATCCTGTGGGTATAGTATATAACTTGAAGTTTCAACTTATTTTGGTTCTTATGATCCAGGATTGAGAATTCTTTTTTCTTTTTGAAATAGTGCATAAAAACGAGCTATAGATATGATTTTTTAATAAGAATGAGAAAATAGCTCACTTAAACGACGAAAGAAGAATGGCGTTTTTAAATACTATATGTTTTACTTTGAAGCTTATTTTGGATAGCGAAAAAACTATTAAGACTGGAATTTTTTTTTAAAGTTGTATTGTGAATTAAAACTGATGCGAAGGCTTCGATTGTATTCTTATTTGTAATATATGAAAGAGCACTCTTTGTTTTCGAACTGACATATGACAAAAAAAAATTTGCTTTCATATTATAAATACTCTCATTCTTATACTATCGATCTGTTGTAAGTTTATAAGAAATAATTTTAATCCTTTCTTAGAACAGAAAATCATCTAATCTATTTTATCCGTTAATACAACTTAATTTTTAATAAAAATTTCTTCAGAAGACTCTGGACTTAGAAAAAAATTGCCTAAATTGGTGTTAAATTGCTTAAATTGATGTTCTATTTTGGGAAGATGAATTTCGTTTAAGATTAAGAGACAGATTTGCCAAAAATTTTGTTTAGGAAAACAATTATTAGTTAAAAATTCCAGTATAATTTTTTTAAAAAAAGTATTTTAAGGTGGTTGATGTAGGTATTTTTTCTCTTGAATTTTATCTCAATGTGGCGATTGTTCTTCCGTTTTAGGCAATGGGTATTGAACAATCGAAAATTGATAGTGGTATATTAGACGAGAGTAGCTATGCTTTAATATCAAAATATACAAAATTGAAACGTGACGATATTCTTGCGTGGCAGGAACGTTTTATTCAACAATGTCCTGGAGATACCAGGACAATGAATAAGGAACAATTTTGTAAATTCTACAAAGAACTTCGTCCTCAAGAAAATGTAAATCATTTAAGTGAAAGTGTATTTCGTGTTTTTGATTTAGACGGTGATCATGGTATTAGTTTTACTGAAGTAAGTTAAGCAATAAAATCTCGCGTCTTTTTCACATATTTTGCGATTTTTTTATTTTTATTAGTTTTTAAGGGCGTATGTTGCAACAACTGAAGCTTCACTTGAACAGAAACTTCGTTATGCATTCGATGTGTATGATATCGATAAAAATAGTTTAATTGATCGTACTGAAATTTTATTGGTTTTACGTTCAATGTTTGAGCTATTAGGAATGTCTAATGAACCGGACAAATATTCGTATGAACAATGTGCTGATAATATAATGAAAAATCTCGACTCAAATTCTGATAATCGAATATCAAAAGAAGAATTTATTCAAGGATTGAAAGATGATTCATTCTTACAAAGTTTAATGAATCCATTTCAACATGTTTGAATATGTACAGTAGTTGCATGTACACTAAAATACAGTACTTTAAGTTTTCATGTATAACTTAGATCATCATCCGGTACATTGTCTTCTTTTAATCCATTAGTCAAAATTCTTATTATGCTTTTACTTGTGACAATTTTAAGGTATAATAAAAAGTTGTAATACAAAACGTTTTCATGTTTGTATGTTTTTTGACTTTTAATCTTAGTGGCACGTCAGATGATTGTATCCATGTAGAAAAATCATAGTTTTTTAAGTGAACGAATGAATATTTAATCAGATATCTACATAAGAAAATACATATTATTGCTAAAACCATTTATCGTATGCAGGACAATTGCAAACGCAATGTACCGTGCTGTTGAAGTTCACGGTTTTCGTAATATCTCATACTAGTCGTGACCAATCTTGATCATGTTTTTCTCCAAATGTAGGAAGCAGTTGTGGTTACTCGGCACATCTAACATTAGTTCCTGTCTCTCTCCATGACATAGTTAAAAAAGAAATATATTTATTTTCATTCGAAAATAATTGCCATATGAGGTAACTTATCTGTGGTAACAAAATAAAAGTCGTTCTAGCTCGAGAGGGGACGGAGAAAAGTGAAATTTAACCAATATGGTCCTGAATCGTGTTTTTCAGTCTTTAGGTGTCGCCATAACTGTCAATACTGAAAATTTTCTGCATCATTCGATTTGTCTCGACGAGATCTATCGAATGATGTATGATAATTTGAGTTTGCATGAAAAATCGGGCTTTTGGAGTGCGACAGCCTCGGGGTCCTTACTAGTATTTGTATATCTTGAGCATTTTACTAGTACTAGTCGAAAATTTTTTTTTTCTATAATCCTCTCACATCATACAACAAAATGAAGAATTTATTTATATACAACTTTTTGTGTCGTCTTTTTTTTGTCAAACTTTTGCGCTTGCAACTGTCCCGTATGTAACTGTCTTCTTTGTATAGGTCACTCTATGTGTCTAACAGTCTATTTATCGTATAGATATTTTTCAACTTCAAGAATCAACTTTCTTTAAACAAATCCATATTATAATAAACATATCAATTGACCGATCAACGCTATCATTCTACATCAACATATGACGACTTAATACAAGATTATTGTATATGTATATGTATGAGCAGATGCATTATACATTTTGACAAACTTCATCAAAAAGAAGAATAAAGGAAAAAAATCTTCAGAGTTTGAAAAGAGAATCCATTATCATTTGACAAGTATAACATAAATATTTTTGATTCTCGAGTGATAGAATAGAAATCCATTTTTTGATGCAATGAGCAGCTTTTATTCAAATGTACATATTGAATGATTTCGGGAAAAATCGACTTTGAAACAGTTTAGTTTTGAAAGCTAATATTTACTTGATTTGGAATATGTGTCAACAGAAGCATACACTTAAGTATTTGATATTATGAGCATATAAAGTTGTAAAGATATTTACGTCTATTAAAATAATTTTCTTTCCCATAAACAGATATCCTAGAGACATGAACTATCCATTTCACAATAGAATGGCTATGAATATTTTTTGAATAACATGTCATTAAAAAGAGTTAGACACTTGTGCAGTTCGATGTCCAATAGAGCATACTTTAGAACATCTATCGGTGAGAAAATTGAGTTTAGGTTTTTAATTTGCCATGGTGTACCTCACCAAGCAAGATCTACGATTTTGCTAGTAAAAGAAAAAACAATGGATTTTGAGTAATTAAAAATACTGATTTTTAGCGGTCACTTTACACAAAGAGAAAAGATTGTAACATTGAACACTCTTTGGTATATTTAATAACAACATTCATTAATCTCTAAAAATTCTAGATTATAAACTAAAGAAATATTGTCTATTGAGAGAAACCATAATAAATAATAGTGGCATACTATTTTTATTTACTATTAATATTTTTATTCACTATTATTTTGTTTTGTGTGACATACTGTCGATCAAACACAAGCAATGTCATTTCCATGGAAAATACAAAAATTTTTATGTTATGATGAGATAAGGATAATGTTTTATTCACAAAAACATTTTGAATAAATTGATTCTAAAATTCTCGATAATTTATCTTTTCTCCTTTGCAAATAGAGAGTATAATAAAGTGAAATATTTTTAACATTTGATTGTTTGACTAAAATTACATTTAAACTTCTACATATATAATCACTTTGTTGTATTACAAATAAAAAGGTTCACCTTTTTCAACGAAAAAATCATTAAAGAAGACAAGTTTGCAATCGAGAATATTGAAGACTTTATAATATTCATTACTCTATTCTGATTTCTAATGTGATTTCATGTAAAATATTTTTAATATGTAGATAGTCCGTACTATTTTATTTTATTTTATTTTATTTCAAGCACTCAGATAAAAGTCGAAAATTAAATAAATGTCAGCGAGATCATTGAAGAAACGTAAAAAAAACGGACAATAGTAGAAAAAAGGTTTGTTGATTGTTTAATATGCACAGATATCATATAAAAAAATACGAGGCATTAAATACTAAAATGACGATTGTAGAGAATATAACTTATCAGCTGTTAAAAATAGATGATTTTTATCTTAAATTTGAAATAATAGAATAAAAAAAGGAACTCACAATACTTGTATAACTTTTAGTAAAAAAATAAATGTCGTGTCTATAAGAAAGAGAGAAAGTGAAAATAAAAAGAAAGAAAACGTGAGTATATTGATGGTATATTTAATCAAAGCTTGTCAAATTGTTTGAAGAGTTAGGTATATGATGATGATGATGTTGATGTCTTGTGAAGGAAGAAGAATAACAATATTTGCTGAAGAACAACACATACCCCAGCTGAGAAAGGTATGTCATATGATCATTTTTCTATGGTTAGAATATTCCTCATTCATATTTTACTTTTTTCCAACAGCATTAATCACGTAAATCACTCATGGCTAGATGAAAAGTGATAAATAGCGCTTAATAAACCTCCAGTTTAAAATAACATAGAAGTACTATTACTAAAAAACCAATCATTGTCATTGTTATTATTCGATTTGACTTCATAAACAAGTTATGGTAGGTAAAAATATTATTTTTCTGTCATTGTTCAAAATATACAAGTTCTTTTTTGTTTAACGATATATATCGCTTTCCTTCTCTACTAAATATAGCAAACATGGGCAGATGACTTCATTCTTACTTTCATTGCCAGTATCATTTTTGCTAATTAGATTATTAATGCAACATACTGTAAAGTAGCGCGAGTGTAAAGTTTCTTTATCAAATAAAATACATCGAGAAATAGACAGTAAGCGATTTTGAATTTTGAATATTTATTTTTACATAATATGCAAAAGCAAACAAATATGTCGACAAAACACCCCATCAAATGAAAAATCTTGCCAGTAAGAGATAAGACACCACATGATTGACTGACTCTCCAGTAGAAGGGTGAAGTGGAGAAAAAGCTCGATAAAACTCAAAAGATTTGCGGATAGAAACTTGAACTCCTCAGTTCTTCGGTTTATTAGGCAGAGTTTCATACAACATTTCATATTCTTCCTAGAACAAACACAATCTTATCTGACATTCATAAACTCTAACCTTTGGATTCGATGCATCCCTAAAGGTATATGACAAGGACTAGAAGTGGAGCAACATTAGATTTATGTGCTTTTTAAGTCCTTTCCCTCGTCAGAAACATAAATTTTTTTATAAAAAGTCGATGTTGAGATAAGTACATCATCAGATAGCCCACGGTATCTACTATCAGGATCCAATGTTATCTGGTCCTCATCGAAGGGATATGGAAGTTTTTAGAAAAGTTTTCTGAAAATCTTGAATAGCTGGCTTTTCGAAAAAGTTTTACTTTTCGATTAAAAAGCAAATCGCAATAACACCAGAAAATAGAGCAAACATTTCTGATCAAAATGGGATATGTCCCAGCTGTGAATGATATTCTGATCAAGTGTTATGAGAGTTTTGCTGGAAGCCCTAAAACTTGCATCAGATACCGGCACCACCGGCACCAACTTTAATACCATTTCGTAGCTCCCAGATTTCTCGGTAACGAAACATCACAGAGAGCTCGAAGGTCTTAAATTGAAGCTGACACATGTAGCCAGAGTCTGACAGAGTCCGATTGTAATATTCTGTCTAGATTTGTGATTAGAAAAACATCTTTACTAAAGTTAATGAAACTTTTTCGACGCTTTTGACACTGACCATTATTTTGAAAAGAGAAATATCTAAAATCCGGCTCTGTCAGCCTCTATCCACATGTGTTTTCGCCATTTTAAGATCAGCCCGAGCTCTCCACAATGTTTCGTTACTGAGAAATCTGGAAGCTATGAACAGCCCCATTGCTCAAAGAATTTCATTTTCACATCGGACTTAGTTTATGCATCTAATATAGACTAACGTGAAAATAAAGCTGAAAAAATGTTTTCACTTTCTTAGAATTGTGTGAAAATCTTAAAACTTAAAA